CTCTACAGCTAAGATGGTGAACAACAGCTCGACCTGGAGCTGGGCTGCGATGAGTCGCCGGGGACTGCTTAGGATGCAGTGGGGCTGGCGGGAGCGGGCGAGAGCTTTTCTAACGGTGCAGAGAAGGGGTCTGGAGGATTCAGGTACTGGCGTGACACAGTGGGTTCGCCGGGCCCTCGGGATGCCCCGGCCTGGCCATGGGTGGGGGAGGATTGGAGGGATAATGGAGGAATGAACTCCTTCCCAGCTCCCTTCCAGTGTGCCCCCCCTCGCGTTCTCTGCCATCCTCCCTCTCTCACACCCCTTTCAGCAGCGCCCTCCCCTCACAGCCGCCGACCCAGGAAGGGCCATCGCCCAGGAGCTCCTCGGAATCAGGCGGGGCCCCGAGGAGACCCCGCGCGCGCGGACTGAGCTGGGGCCGGGTGTCGGGGACCGCCGGGCAGGCCTGCGGCGCGGGGGAGGCGGTCCGAGCCGAGGATTGACGGAGGCCGGACCCTTGGCCTCGGTCCCAGGGGGCGGCGCCGCGGTGGGAACGGTCTGGGTCCCTCCCAGGCGGGAGCAGAACAGGCGGTGCCCGGGTGGCCGCGGAGCCATGGACGGCAGCGGGCCCTTCAGCTGCCCCATCTGCCTGGAGCCGCTGCGGGAGCCGGTGACGCTGCCCTGCGGCCACAACTTCTGCCTCGCCTGCCTGGGCACGCTTTGGCCGCACCGCGGCGCGGGTGGCGCCGGCACGCCCGGAGGCGCGGCCCGCTGCCCGCTGTGCCAGGAGCCGTTCCCCGACGGCCTGCAGCTCCGCAAGAACCACACGCTGTCCGAGCTGCTGCAGCTCCGCCAGGGCTCCGGGCCCGGGCATGGCCCGGCCCGGGCCCCGTCCCCGGCCCCGGCCCCGGCCCCTGAGCCCGCAGCGCCCAGCGCTCCGCCCAGCGCCCCGGAGCCATCTGCACCCTGCGCGCCCGAGCCGTGGCCAGCGGGCGAAGAGCCGGTGCGCTGCGACGCGTGCCCCGAAGGCGCCGCGCTGCCGGCTGCGCTCTCCTGCCTGTCCTGCCTCGCCTCCTTCTGCCCCGCGCACCTGGGCCCGCACGAGCGCAGCCCCGCGTTACGCGGTCACCGCCTGGTGCCGCCGCTGCGTCGGCTGGAGGAGAGCCTGTGCCCGCGCCACCTGCGGCCGCTCGAGCGCTACTGCCGCGCGGAGCGCGTGTGCCTGTGCGAGGCCTGCGCGGCCCAGGACCACCGGGGCCACGAGCTGGTGTCTCTGGAGCAGGAGCGCACGCTCCAGGAGGTGGGGTGCAGGCACTGTGGGCGGGCGGGGGCGGGAGACCCGCCGCTCAAGCCGGCAGAGGGTCATGGACCGCCCCCTCCTCCTTCGGGGGCTGGGTCTCAATT